GAGAGAGCGGCTGTCTGGGTCGTGTGGTTCGTTGTTGTGTTTTCTCCTTATTTATACCGTCGTTCCTGTTTCCCTCTGTTTGCTGTTCTGTTAAACTGACCTTATCCCGACCCACCAGTTTCTGCCTCTTTCTTTCCATTCTCCTCCGCACGCTGGCAGGGGGAGGGGCGGCCACGTGGCGCTTTTGTTGCCGGCGTCAGCCGAAACCAAAACAGGCTGAAATCAAACTTTTTAGAAGACAAGTCAGCAAGATCAGTGACATATTTAGGGCACAGCTAGAAGGATTTTCCAGGTAGACTAAAAGGACAGCACTGCCGCAGGAATACGTCCAGCATATGGCTCATTCTACACACCACTTTATTTCTTTTTCCCCACACCAGTAAGTGGGTCTGCAGGAAGACACTGCAGTGAAACCTTGCTCAGCAGACTGCATGAGATGATCTTGAAAAGTACAATGATGGGCTAAACTACGAAACTTGCAAGCCAGACATTCAGTGGCACATCTCAGAGGTCCAAGGCTTTTGGCTGCATTGACATGCTGTATTTCCTCAAAGGAGCTTGGAGGTATTTGACACTTCATCTTATCATGGCTTTGAAGCAATGCTACATCAAAAATAAACCACTAAGTCAGAGATCACTTGGGTCAGACACTCTAAGTGTGGCTGCCAATGTCAATAAAACAAAAAGCTACAAGGACATGTTTTAAAATAATTATAGATTTTGCCAACACTTTCACAGTGGCAGTATACATACCCTTATGAACAACAGGACAAGTCATCTGGAGCTGACAGTGAAGATCAAGCCATCCATCGGTGGTGTCGACCTTTTCCAGAACCTTTTAAATGAAAAATCTGTTTTCACTATGTCATCACAAACTTATATCTCACAGAATAGCTTTAGATTTCCTTTTTCTACTGGTTCTTGCTCAAGCAAGAATCCAGCTACGAGTGATGCTTTTCAATAATCTTCGCAAATAACCTGGTTACTAATGGGTCATTTAATATACGTAGAAACCAGCAGTATTACACAGTATAGAATCAGTGCAGTCTAATTTCCCTTTGCCCTAGATATTTCACTATTGTGGCACAAGCAACTCTACCATAAAACATTTCTGTAGAGTAGTAGACATACATGCTCTAGATTGTTGTGTAACTACATGGTCTCTTCCATTAGGACTTTACAAATTAAATACTAAACCTTATAATCTCCAGTAATTCGGGATAGCCCGTATTTTAATTCCACCAAAGCCAAAAAGATAAGCAGTAAGAGTTTGGAGGACTGTATATTGAATAGTCATAGATAACAAATTCATTCTGGAAGTTTTCCATAATGGTAGCTACTATCAGCATAATTCTTTGAGTAGTCATGTTGAGGTGCGCTACTTCACAGTTAAAATGCTTTGACTAAACATATGAGAAAATGTTACATAATCAGGTACAATTTGATACCTCTTCTCCCTCCCATCCTTCACATCTGTTTTAAATCACATCAGTAAAGCTATTCTTCAATTTAACTTCTCAACCACTCCGGCAGGGAAAAAAAAAATCTTACTTGTCTTTAATCAGTACAAATAGCATCTTATACGTAACTAAAAACTGGTCTACAAAAACAACCCAGCCAGGCCTCATACACTGAATTTAATTTTCCAGTAATCTGAAAAGTATACATAACACCACTAAGAAACCTTTGCATAAAAGGCTTCAATTTCTTCCACTTCAGAAAAGCAGACCAGTAATTGCACCTCAGACAAAAAAAAATCCACACCTGTAACTCTATCAGTAGATGAACACAGACAACAAGAACTTCTGTTAAAACAGATTTAGCAGGAAAAGAAATGTAATTTTCATCACCACTAGTGCTGTGTTGAGGAAGACTGTCTAATCAACTGATCTCTGGGTAAAACCACCAAAACCCCTCAAACTGTTGTTCTCCACAGCCCCCCAAGACTATCGATATAACACGGTGTTCGACTACTCCCAAAACTTCCCAAAATATGATCATACGTACTCAGCAAAAGCCACATATAAATGCAACATTCTTTCAGTAAGAAGTTAGCTGAAGAGAAGAGTCATGCCAGACATGGAAAAAAAGCCTGTTTGTTCCCAGCATAGTCAGACAAAGTATTCAAGAACACCCCATTCATGTGAAAATACACCCCTGTAATTCTGCCAAGTATAGGAAAACAGACAATGAGATCCAAAGTTCAGTAACTACCGAGTATAAAAAAATCGTACACCATGGAGAAGGTAAATTTTTCCTATCTGTGCCAGTTTATTTCATTTCTAGAGGCATCTAAAATGGAATTATTTCAGCTCTTAATCTTCTGAGAAACAGAGCACACAGCTCTAACTTAACTGGGGTTGTGTTAAACATCTTATCAACATCTTCGCTGTGACAATCGTCTCCTATGCCATCTTCTAATTTTTTGCAAAGCAAGTATTACTGTGTATTTTCTCCCTGCTCTGCAGCTACTGAAATGGCATAGGGTGCCTTCTGACAAGCTTTTTGTCGTGCATAGCAACAGCTACTGTCTCAGTTCTGCTGAGGTTTAACCGTGCAAAGGCAGGTCACAACTTAGTCTTGGACCCACTTCCAGGCTAAGCTACAACTATTTATGTATTTATTACTATAGCAGGAAACTACCGTAACTAAAGCGTTGGATTTCTGCACGTATTTGAGAAAGGGCAGGCTCACAATAAAGCAAGACTGGGGGAATGGAGGAGGGGGGGGGAGGAGGAAAACATCTAGTCTCCAAAATACTGTAGGTATTCAGTGAAAGACCGGGTTATAAAGATTGTCTGTTTAGCTTCTTAGACGCCACACATCCGACCTGATGACAAAAAAGAGAAACATTAAAGTCCATTTAATGGACAAAAAGAGAAACATTTAAAGAGTACTCTTCCCAAACCCTCTTGAAGGGTTTTGGTCATCAGTATTATCCACAGCAAAAACCAGCGTGACCTGTTCAGTTCCTGAGACACAAGTCTACAGCCTTCAATTCCAACTTTCTGCTCAGAACAACGCCTTGTCCTAAATGCAGACTTAAAAGAATCATACCTACTTAATACAAGCTTCAACCTTTAAATGAAAAATCTACGTTTTACAGTTCAGTGTCTCATACTGGAATTATTGAATCATATGCTTCTTAACTAACACAAACTCCAATTTCCACGATCCTGGGGAAAAAGTGCCATATGCATTTTTCTCTAAACCTGCAGGGGTGCCTTTTTAATTTCTCTGTGTCGCCAGAATCCCGCTACACCAGTACCACCCTGCCCACCATGCAGTCAGAGTTTTGAGAACCACGGTGACAGACAGCTAGCAAACGTAAATTTCCTACCCAGCTTCTTTTTTGTTGTTCTGGAAATTTTAATTTCACTTTCCTTATATAGCAGAAATTCACCTTTTACTGACAGCACAAGGCATTCATTTTGCAGGTTACAAGTAACTATCTGTTTTTACATAACCTTAATTGCTTAGGCCCAGCTCACAGGAACAGGTATTGGTACTAACAGTTGAATGCCCCTTCTTTAAAGTGAACTTTAGAAATTCCACCAACGTCAGTGAAAGTCAACATCCACGACAAACGCCGTCGTTAGGGTCCTACGGGCCTCACACACTAATTCATCCAACTGAAGATTAGTTCTGCCTTCTTTCCACTATCAAGGAAACAAATTTCTTTGAAGAATGCATTTCTTAGCACCTTTAGGTCATTTTCTTTAACAAACAGTTTTTCAAAAGCACTGATAACACATACTATTTAGGAATCACACTCCAAATACAAGCCATGTAGCTTCTCACAACCACCGCCGCCTTGTCCTGCCTGGTAGTTAAAACTTACCGGGTTTTTTTTTCCCGGCTTTTGTGAGAGATACCTCCCCAGGTGTACTGCTGGGAAGCTTCTACAGTGGCTAGTACATTCAGAAAGAGAAATCTCATTTGAAAGAAAATGTATTGCTATCTTTTCACCTGGCATATTCTAACATTTTAAATACGCAGAGTAAAAAACAAACAAAAAGGAAAACAAAATGACACTTCAAGTTTTTCAGTGGGCACAGGGAGAATACTAGAAGTTAAAAAATACAAGAAGTAATTATGCCTGTTTAAGACCAATAATACACAAATATAGTAGACTGGTGCACATTTTTGATCTTTAAGAGTCTGAAACACAACTGGGTTTTCAGGAAACACTTCATTTTTTTACTAAGTCAATGCATTGGGATGGAATACACAATTCTGGAATTAATCCAGAAATCTGGTTCTCACACTTCAATGTATTTCAGGTAACTTCTTTCTTAGAGATAGCCACTTTTTCATCTTAAACGGTATTCTTCCTCCAAGAAGACATAAAGGGCAGCTGACTCCTCAGAAAAGCATGCAGAATCTCTGATTAAATTAATGCCAAGGATATTAAGTCAGAACCAGACAAAAAACAGAGATGATCAGAATAATAATTTTAAACACAATAAGTAACTGGAAGTTTTCAACAAAAGACTGGATTCTTGACGATGGCAGTTTGTCAAAGTAACATGTAAAGATGTTGCCAGTCATTTCTAATTCTATAAACAGCATTTATAGTGTATTCCATTAAAGACAGTCATGAAGTTAAATTCCTTGGTAGCCCTTGTCACTCCCACATTATTACTTTAAAGTAGCAACTTTTAATGTAACTATGAAAATCACAGCCATTTTATTTACTGCAAAACTCATTTTTACCGGTAAGATTTGCCCGGTTACACTTTTCCTTGTGGTACTTGTCAAAGTAGCTTGACAAGTCAGTTCCTCAGTTCATTAAAAGGACTTGCAGATCTTTATGGCAATACACTTCCAACAAACCACTTGGGGGACAGAGTCACATGCTGCCAGATTTCAGCTCCAGTGTGAAACTGGCTATCTTTGTAACACAGCAATGCAGGAAGGGGAAAAACTTCTAAACCAAAAATGCTCCACAGCTGAAGAAATCCATCAACACATATTCATAAACCCACTCTTGTGATCCTCCCTGACCCCGACTGCTCCAAAACCAAACTACTCTCCCACAGCTCCAAGATCAAAAGGCATGATCAAGACTGGAGCTCACACCTTCTCAAGCACTGAGCAAAGTTCTATTTGAGATGATGCATTTATAAAGTTTTCTTCCTGTCTGGATTCTAATATGATTCTAATGTGACACATATATCGGCACTGGCCTCCCCAATTAGATGTCATCTCGTCTATTTTTCCATGAAACTTACAAGTACTCTGGCCCCTTGTCAAACTTTATTGAAAAATTTAGGTCACCCAAAACTGACCACAGCTTTCCCCTTCCATCTGCAATAGAATTTGAACAATAGGCTTATTTCTAAGTTTATTTGCAAAGGAAGGGGCTTGGGACACCCAAAACATCCTTCAACACATATGCAAATTGCATACATACATCTTGTTTCTATACAAAATCAAGTTAAAAATATCAGCATACTTCTGGGTGTATCAGCATAAAAATATGAGCATACTCCCTGGGAACTCCCTGGACGACAAGCTGACCATGAGCCAGCAGTGTGCCCTGGCTGCCAAGAAGGCCAATGGCATCCTGGGGTGCATTAGGAGGAGTGTGGCCAGCAGGTTGAGGGAGGTTCTCCTTCCCCTCTACACTGCCCTCGTGAGGCCCCATCGGCAGTACTGTGTCCAGTTCTGGGCTCCCCAGTTCAAGAAAGATGAGGAGCTACTGGAGAGAGCCCAGCGGAGGGCTACGAGGATGATGAGGGGACTGGAGCATCTCTCCTATGAGGACCGGGGAGTCTGTGGAGTCTCCTCCTCTGGAGATATTCAAGACCCGTGGGGACAAGGTCCTGTGC